TGAATAATGTGTAGTGTATGGATTCGAATAATAAAAGTTGTTACTATTAATTGTGTGAATTCGGACGGTGCCTTTCAGAATAACACCGGCCGGAGTAATGCTGGCGGTGCCTTTCAGAATAACACCGGCCGGAGTAATGCTGGCGGTTTGATCCGTAATGAATTGGGTAGATGGGTCGCATGCTTCTTATGAATATTGGTTCTACCACTATAACGGGAGCCAAGCTTTGGAGTCTTTTTCAAGGTCTACAAATTGACTTGAGAGTTGGGTCTTCGCAAAGTTATAGCCGAGATTGATAGCCAGTGTGTCACGACAATGGTGCTTGGACCGGGAGATAGTTTTGGAACTAATGATGCATTGATCAGGGCCATTGGAAGTTTGCTGCAAAAAGACTAGCGAGTGAGGATTCAACATGTGCATAAGGAAGCTAATTTTGCGACCGACTTTATGCACTACAAGAAATACGAGTTTTACCAATGGAATAATTCGTTGGTAATCAAGTTTCCCAACAGAATTCTAACGGATTACCAATAAATTATTTTGTTACTATATGACTTGTTGCTAAACATTTACCAACTGAAAATATAATCCGTTGGTAAATTCTCAACAGCTTACCAACAGATTTGCAACGGAAGTGCTCATCAATAGATTCTCAACGGATTATGTGTTAGCAAAATAATTCCGTTGGCAAATTACTAACAGAAAGCCAATAAATTATTTACGGAATTTGCAACGGATTGGCAACGCATATTTTCTAACAGATCACCAACGGATATTTTATCAACAAATTACCAACGGATTATCAACGAACCTTTTTACAAACAGAATACCAACGGAATGTTGGCAAAGGATTATAACGGATTACCTACGAAATGTTGGCAACGGATTACCAACAGATATTTTTCCCAATCGATTATCAACAGATACCAATGGATGTTTTCCTAACAGATTACTAACGGATTACCAACTGTTATTTTACCAACAGATCACTAGCAATTTTTTCCCAACATATTACCAACAGATACCAATGGATATTTTTCTAATAGATTATTAACAGATTTTTCCAACATACTTTCCCCAATATAGTAACAATTGATATTTTACCATCAAATTATCAACAAAAAATCCTCCCAACAAAATTCCAATAAATCAACATATTTCCAACCTATATTTTCCAAAATTATTACCTATCGAAATGAATACGAACAATTTTTCTCAACAAAACAACACAACATAAAATATCTTTCATCTAATTCATGCAACTCAGTTCATCTAGAAAATAAAATCCACACATAATTCAGTTAATCTAACTAAAAATAAAGTTCTAACTAAAATATCATCCATCCAATTCAAAATGATTGTCATCTAACCACGGATACTACAACACGAACTCTACGAGCATCCAGAAGGTGTGCTCTCTGATGTATTTATGAGGGCCATCATCAACACAAACCGTTTATCCATGTCATCAAACTTTTGTTGCACTTCACCCTTATACTCATCTAAGATTTGTTGCACTTCAACCCGACCCTCAGCCCTTCACTCCTCACGAATGCGCGCTATGTCAACTTCTGAAATCCGAGATAACTTTCCTGCTAATATCTTTAAAACAAATATAAAATAAGCAACAAATTTTTTATCGTAAAAATAAGCTGACAAATGATATATATTCACAGGAAACTTGAGAATTAAAGAAAAAAACAAAATAAAGATACCTGTGAGGCGCCAAAACTCCCAACCCCATATAACCGTTGTTTTTTACCAACTCCACCAACATCTGTACAATAATGCTCATTTATCTTTGTATTTCGTTGGCCTTGATCTAAATCAGAATCATTGGTTAAGGATGGATCACTGGCAATAGAAGACTCCACTTCCATCTACCATTAGAACATGTAGCAAAAANNAAAAAAAAGAGAGAGAGAGAGAGAGAGATAGAGAGAGAGAGAGAAAAATAATATTCATCAACTATGCAATAATTTGTATTTACAAAACATTGATGAAATCAAGTTACTTACCGCAACTTTCTCAGAACAAACATCTCTCCATTTGTTATTTTTCTTATCCCAATGTAAAGCTTTATAAACCTCCATATTAGTCGGAGTCCTTTCTAACTTTTCAGTCTGAAAATTATAACATTATCAAAATTTCGATTTAAAATGAATAATCATATTTTTCCAATTATGAAAAACATTTTTAATTAAGAAAAAAATATAATAATAACTTTACCATTTCTTTTGCATATGCATAAGCAGACTTAGAACCCCCAATGTGCACAAATATCCCCGATCCTGGACCATTCACCTCGCTTTTACGATTATTAGACATCTTTCGACCCTTTAATTGAAACTCAGACTTAGTATTATGTTGGTAATCTGTTTAAAAAAATTATATATATAATGAATTGTTAATCCGTTGGTAATTTCTGTTGGCATTTGGACAATTTCTTGTAGTGAAGGCGAGCTTGGCATTTTCCTCTACGTTGGGGCTGCATCGTATGACTTCCCCTCCCTCTGGTTTGGGAGCTTGGATTGATCATGATCTCATCGGGGTGTCACATCCCCGGCGTGTCCAGGATTCATCACCTTCTTAGGCCCTTGGCCTCCTTATTTTGTACCGAAAAAAAAAATATATATTTAATAAATTTCGTAGCACCCTTTTTTTCTCTAGACCTAAAATAATACTGAGTTTTTGTAAATTGATTTGTAATTGTAGGCCTATTAGTTAAGATGATTTTCTTACTTTTCAAAGAGAGTTAATATCAAAATTAATGCAAATGATGATGTAATAAGAAAATCAAATCATTGTATAATAAGTAAATATTTCTTATTTTGAAATGAAAAGTAGTGCAACTATCCCTTTGATGCAAGGGTCTTCTAATATAAACAAATAGTATTGTATTATTTAACATTAATTTATTTACTTATTTTATTTATTAATTATTAATGGAGATTTATAAAAAAAAAAAGGAAGGAATAGTTAGTCTTTTTATTTTCTAAAAACAAAATAAAGATTATAGAAAAAAAAAAAATCTTTTCTTAAAAAACATTGAAAATACAGCTAAGAAAATTCTCTTTAAGTAATTCAAATTTTTGATCTAATTATAACATAATATATACAGATTTGTTTTGTTTATAAAGTTACTATTGTAAGTAAGTAATTAATGCTTTCTAATTATTTCTTATCCTATTTGTGGTAAATATTATTCTCTTTATATATACTAGATCGTAGATCTGCGATTCACGAAACATATGATATGTTAAATGCGTCATTCTCATAGAGTTTGTCCGTATAGACCCAAAAACAATGGTGTTGAATTATCCAATTTCCTCATCTTTTAATCAATGTTGTCTTTTTATCAAAAATGTTAAATTTGTATCTATAGCTTGTAAATTAATTAATATATTATCATGCTAACACATTTATACTAATATAAAATTAATTTTAGTTTGTATATATATTTACTTCTTAGTATAATAAAAAATAGTAATTTTACTTATTTTTATTCACCATATAATATACAATTTATTTAAATACTATAATAAACTAATTTTAATGTTTTTTTTTTTAAATAAGTTATGACTAAGCTTATTATGCTCATCATACACACACTTCACAAAAAATGTGATTAAAAATTACCTTCCTATAGCTTAATTTGGAAGTTAAACTTAAAAGCACTCCATCCATCCATGTTGGAAGCTATATAACCATTTTCTCCAACAAATGATACACATTTTTTCCACTTTCTAGGGTTCGGATTTTTTTTTTGTAGCCAGCCACGGTATCCGGAGCTTTGTCCCGACTAATCCTTTGACCAACTTGGGTCGCACACCTGGCAATGGTGGGTGAGTCTCCCAACAAGGGTTTTCTGCATTCATAAGGACTCGAACCCGAGACATTGTTTAAGCGACATCAAACTGCTTACTACTTGAGTCAACCCTTGTTAAGGGTATACATTTTGGCACGTGACGAATAAAAACGTGTGGAGCCACACAAGAAATCGAAATGCTTCAACTTTGTGTGGTGCATGTATTTGTATTGTATGGATCTACTCTTTCTTGTGTACATACGCTAGGATATAAATT